ATATATATATAAACATATTATTAGCATTTTAAAATTATTGAAGAATATAGTAACAGCCTAGTAATTGCAGATTAACAATCTGAAGATTGGTTTTAAATGATTAATAACCTGACAAATATTTCGTAGTTATTCTTCCAGGAGATTGCGAAAATGTAACCTTGCAGAAGTCATTTAAAAGTAAAACGCTGAAAGTCTTTCGCTATAGTTGCGAAAACGCGAATGAATTGCAAAGGCTACGCCGGAATCAAGAAATTTGTAAAATACGATCGGTCATCCAACTGCATTTTTGTATAGTATTCGATGTAGACTGATTGATTAATTAAAGTTCTTGTCAAAGTCAGTAAAAGATCAATATAATATCCATGACAGTATAATATATACAGATAATATACAAAATCCAAACATTTTTCTCTGTGCATTGTCAATTGGATAATATGTCCTTAAAGATCTCAAGTCTTAACTGAAGTATACATTGTAAAATGTGCAGATTAATACGCGAGTTTAATGATATTGAAGAAATTGTTTGACCAATTGTTGCCTCTGTGCCCATCACATACCATGGGTACAACACAATGCATTAGTTTGTATGTATTACATCACGCTTGGTTACCTGGATATATGTGAAGTATATGTGTGTATTGAAGATCCGTTATACATTTATAGAAAAGACTGACATGAGATACTCATCATGCATAGGAAAGCGTATACCGAGAAAGTGAAGAATAATCCCAGAGCGGATGCCAACATTTTCAGCATCTTGACGTTTTCGTAAGTATAAATAGTAAACTACAAATATCATTCCTGATAGAGCCGATTAAGAGAAATAAAATTGAGAGTGAAGGAAATGCGATCCAGAGAAAAGTTCACAGAACGTAATAATTTGATGTATAAGATTCAAAAGTTTTCAGTCTAAGAATATAAAAAGTATAAAATGGAACTACCATTGATAATTATGTAGTATAAGGAAGTCACCCTCTGATGATCTTGACCTTGACATATATTGTCAAGGTCATGAACCTGAATAACCTCTAACAAGTTTTAGCAGTCGCTTGTTATTCGTTAAAAAGTTATTAACAAAAAATTTTACGAAATAACGTCTATATATTCTCGACATATATAATATTAAAAACGTCTCTCTTTCCCCTGCCTAGGAGCGCACGATTTTCTCATGTCATATGACCTTGACAATATATGTCAAAGTCAAGATCGTCAGAGGGTGGCTTCCTTATATTACATAATTACCCTACCATTTTTATTTTTTAGTATAATTATTTCTTATTCATTTTTAATTCATTTGATGTTACACTTTGACAAACTATCGCATTTTTCGATTCGATAACGAGTTAGTCTGCGTGAAACAAATTAGTCAACTTTCAGAAATTTTTTTAATTTTATACATTCATAGTGCTCTGGAAGATAGAATTTTGTGTGCCAAAGGATTTTTTAATTGGAAAATTAATCGAGATATAAACAATTGATGTCAAGTTTTACAAAAAGAAAATTGTTTTGATTATTTTGTGTCATATTTGATTCTTAAGTGTAATGACGCAGTTTCTATTGATTTTAAAGTGGAAAGAAGAATACAGATCAATTTTGCAAGATAATACGTAAAGCTATAATATAATCTTGAAAATTATGAGAAAAAAATTAGTATTTCAACCAGAAAAGCCAAATTCTGGAACCTCGACGAATTGCATGGTTCATTCGAGTAAAACGTGTTTGCTTTGCTTTTCTTCTTCGCAGTTGGATTCTACGCACTTTCTGGGTGGGTTATCGTCGAGACCTTGAAGTAACTGATTTGTACACACCGCTTAAAGAGCATACAAGTGATATTCTTGGTATTAAAATAGCGAAAGCCTGGGAGAAGGAATGGAAGGGATATCAGTGTCGGCTGGAGCAGGTGGCGAAATGCGGATCACAGAAGAAGGTTAAGGAGCCCAGTCTGATGAGAGTCCTCATCAGGTGTTTCGGTTTCAAGACCCTATTGTGCGGAACTTTCATGGCCGTTATAGAAACTTTGCTCAGGTACAACTTCCTTTTCATTTTTTACCTAGAAATTGTACCCTGTGAAGTTGTTCGTCTTAATATTTTATATTTCTTGCATTGGCGATGTCTTGATGATAAAAAATTACACGAATTTAATCCTATGGAATTAAATCTTTTATTAAGCAATTTTTATTAATAATATTTCAGTTTTTTATTAATTTTGAATTAAGAATAAAGATTTAACTAAATAAAGATCTAACTAAATGAATGTATTTATGATAATTAAATGAATGATATAATTGTATGTTCCGAATTTTCATGAAAGAATACGATAATTATTATAATTTTGAAATTAAAATCAAATTAAAAAATTCACAAATTTTTAAGATTTAGAATCTAAATTTTTAAACTAGTTTTTAATTTGCAAATTTCTCACATTCTAACGAATTTTCTTTTTTGGTGCAGAATAGTGCAACCGTTATTGTTGGGTCAGATGCTGCTCTATTTTAACACCACAGGCATCGACAAGTTTTACGCGTACAAATGCGCCATCGGCATTATTTTGTGCTCCGCTGTTAACGTGTTCGTAGTCCATCCTTACATGATGGATATGACTCATTTGGGTATGAAG